ATTTTCTTTCCTACTTCTTCAGTTCTGCCCTAAGTGTTAAAAGTTGTTACACAACATAAAGCCAGGATTTGACCATCATATAGAGGTTGCCTTTCTATAACAACATAATCTTTCTCCAAGAATTTGATCTTGAGAAATTTCCATACTTAGAGTTTTACTCTGCTGTTCAATAGTCTTAGTCTCTTCTCTGAACCAGATATTCCATTGTAACTGTGGACCAGGCTCCAAAACAGCTTTAAACAAATCTATTCAGTCTTTAGGGACCATTTTATTACAAACTGATTACAAGTTAAACATTTGTTTCACAGGTGAATCCATGCCATATGAGACTATTGCTTACTGGAATCTCCTTAAATCTAACATTGGCATAGGGGTCCATTCAATCCTTACAGAGAGTTATTGCTTGGAAATTCCTATAAGGCTAAAGGAAATATTAAGGTTGGTTGTTTGAAAACCATATGTGGTTGTTCTCTATTCTTAAAATGCAATATTAAAATCAATCCTCCATTAAATTCCTTTGTCTGGATTTGAATATCTCTATAAGTATTTCTAAAACTTGTAGCTTAGCACTCAGATTAACCAACTCCTTTAGTTATAAAATAAAAATGATAAAGCTGTTAATATTTTAAATTAACATTACATAAATCCCATCTATTAATTATCATCTCATTTAATATTCTCATTTTCAAAATGTCCAGAGTATTATTATCCAGAGGCCAAAATCTCTCCATTATAACGGTGCTTCCCATTTTGAATGTGGAAACAAACTCTCACTTTTAACTAATTCCTGCCTTTTAGAATCCCCAATTTTCTAAATAAATCTGCTGACAATGGTGCGTAATATTGGAGGCTTGTTGTTGCTGCATAGAACAGCAAAAAGCCTGACTGGATTTCAAGACAGCTACCTATTTTGGCAGCACCCCAAGACGGGGGGATTCAGGGAGAGCCTGCCAGGAGAGAAAAAAGAAAAACCTAGTTGGTAGGGTGGTGACTTTGGCCGCATGTAGTTCTGGACTATTCTTGTGGCTTTAAAGCCACAGGCAAATGACTTTTTTGTGAATTTGTACCCCAAATGTTGGGTGCCAGCTGTTGCACAAATAATAAAAATTCAGAGACAGATATAGGTGCTACATAGAATCAGAAAAGCAGAGTGGTAAGCCACTAGAGAGACCTTTTACCTCTATCAATGAACAGATCTAAAGGTAAATCCTCAGACTGCCTATATTGTGCTGTGTCTCCACCATACCTTAGACTCCACATTCCAGTGAGTTCCTGTCTCTTCCCCTTTATATTTCTCTCTGTGTTCAGCCATATTGTTCCTGTCTGCACTTCTCTAGTACTGGGATTACACATGTGTTTGTGTAATGCGTTTGTGTTTGTGTTTTTTTATTTATTACACATGTGTTTGTGGGTTTTTTTATTTATTTATTAAAAATTTCCACCTCCTCCCCACCTCCCTTTTCCCTACCCCTCACCACCTCCCCCACTCTCCCAATTTTGTAAAGCAATCTTGTCTGTTTTTAATTTTCAGGTGGGTCTATATATGTTTTTCTTTTGGTTCGCCTTATTACTTAGCTTCTCTAGGATCATGAACTATAGGTTCAATGTTCTTCGTTTGTCTTTTAAAACTACATTTTTGAAACTTCCTCTCTCCACTACGTCTGTAATTGGTCACAATGCTGAAAGAATGAGTAAGATAAACTTTTCCATTCAGTTCAAATTCTTTCTGTTTGTTACATTTCTAAAATTGACACTGATACCAGTTTGAACTTAGGAAACAAATGATGGAATAAATGCACAAATTTTAAATGACAGAATTAATTAATATTCTTTAATGTCATGGCCATACATAGTTTTAAAGAAATTTAGTTGAATAGTAATTGCATGTGGCTTGCAATGTTTTTTAATTTTGCTTTTGTCTTTGAAAGTATTTTGTGTGCATTTAATGTACAGAAATTCTACATTTGGAATTCCACTACTAGATGGGAAGGAGTGGTTCAGTTGAGTTACCTTTGTAAAAGATAAAACCTGAGAGAGCTCAAGGCATCTTTGTTTTTGGCAGCTTCACTGGCAATAATACGGACAAGAGTTCTATGGTACCTACCTTTGATTCAGCTGGCTCAGTCTCTTCTAGGAAAGAGATCTGTCAATCTAAACCTCCTTGAGCACAATGCAAAAAGCTTGAAAAATGGACCAAACTTTACTGGCTTACCTTTCCATTTTACTATGCAAAAACACTTATGAAATTTTTTTATATTTTTCAAATTTTAATTTGTATTATTTATTGGGTACAAAATAGCTCAGTAAAGCAAAGTGACATTTATATCACCTCACATATTTATTAGCTTTTTATGATGAGCATATCTTAAAATCTATTCTCAAATATTTTTAAATTCCCGGAAGTTTAGTACAATAATCTTTTAAGAGAATGGGAACATCATATAGAGGGCACGAGAAATGGGTAACAAAAATAAATTCTCTGAATTGACAGATGAAAAGGATGTTTAACTCACTGCTTGTTTTGTTAATGGGAGTAGTTGAGAAATATTTACCTCATCAATGTTACAGTTTAGTGATTGATTACAGTAAACGGTGTGTAATAGGTTATTCTAAGCTATTAATTAACTTAGCTTCATTTTCTGCTCCCAGCATTTGCTACATCCTCTTCTTTTTAAGCAGTATGAAAGAGAGTTAGTGCAAAACTATCTCACAACACATAGTGTATGGATGAGGAAATAGATTAGAAAAGGGGGAATAAATAAGAGTCTTGGTAGTTGACTGAGAAGGGTAATGTATGACTGTAACAAGAGGGCTTGCTTGTTGGGGCTTATGTCATGCCCAGTTCCCACAGCCATTTGGCCCTTAAAGAAAATCACACAGAGGTCTCCATAACTTATAAACTGATTGTCCCATTAGCTCAGGCTTTTTTATTAGCTCTTGTAGCTTATATTAACTCATTATTCTTATCTATGTTAGGCACATGGCTCAGTACCTTTTTTAGCGGGGCAGATCACATCCTGTTTCTTCCGTGATCTGGGAAGAACTGTGGAAAGAGCATCTTTCTTCCCAGAATACTCCTGTTCTCATCACCGTGCCTCTAATTTCTGTCTGGTTGACATGCCGATATTTCCTGCCTGGCAAATCAGCATTTATTTAAAACATGATTGACAGAACAAAGAGTCATGGTTGTTTAGATTGCTGTTATAGTATGAAGGGTTTTGAACCTTTGTGAAGATCATTAGCTCTTGAGAATCCAAGGTGTATACAAGAGTTTGTGAAGGCTAATGGTTTCACAGATCAAGAAGTTAGCAAAAGAATTATAATGAAGTAGTTATTACAAAAATGAATTAAATGGGAGAAGGATTGCTACACAGGAGTAATGCAAGGTTTCTGCAGTTATTTTGTTACTAAGACTTTTTTTTGTCCCCTGAAAATATATCTGTAAAGATTTATCCTGGGGCACCTAGATTATACCCCAAGAGTAAGTTTTTATAGTCTAGATTGTCTCATGCTGTTCCCAGCATTCAAACAAACCCAATTTAAGTGTCCCAGAGAGCATCACATTCACCCTCCTCATCATTCAGTATAGCACCACAGAGAAGGGAAGCTGCCTCGGAACAGAGTAGTCCTAGACACTGGGAGTCTCATGAGATGCTTCAGGAATCTTTAATGAGAAAGAGGCTGAGATGACTCTAGCCAACTCGTGGTGGGAGGAGATACAGTTTCCAGTTGATGGCTGCTTTCCACCCACGCTTCCTATGGACTCTACAGCTCAGCTGCCATTATTTAAGCATTAGCAATATAGGACAGTATTTCTTGCTTACATTCCATCTCAATCGCAGGATGGCAACCTCAAGATACTGGGAAATCATGGTTTATATTTAGGGGAATATCTAAAAATATCTTTTTGTGAAAATTCTCCTCACTTCTGCTACCTTTGTTTCTTATTCTCAGGTCATAAGGCCTTCTGGGAACCAGACAAAAGTCATAATCAGTACATTTAAATTATTATTTAGTTTGAGTAGAAATGAATGCTGTACAAATATATGCATTTGGTAAAGTAGTCCACTCTTCTTTTCTTAAACACAGGTTCACCTTTGGCTTTTGTCTTCCTTAACACAGCTTCAAGAGACTACACCTTATAAAAATCTCTCTTTTATTCTCTTGGGAAGTCCTTATACATGCTTTTGATAAAAAATATCAGTTCTCTGATGATCAAGTAAGTTTTAATCAATCAATTTTAACTTTGGATTATCTTTTGTCTCCCAGGAGAATTTTCTTTTAATTGTAAATTTGACCCAACAAGTAAGAGAAGTGTAATATGTAACTACAATACATCAACAAAAATTTTCTTAAATTTAGTGTTTTTACTTCTTTATTAAATGAAATCCCAACAAAGCCCATGTGATCACAATCTTTTCAGTAAAAATACTTATGACATACAAATGATATCTATCATGCAGAAATCTCCCAATAATGAAAAATTTAAGCAATGAAATAAAATCTAAAAATAACAGCCATGAAGTTGACCCTTCTTGGAGGGTAAGCCTTGGTATAGTAAGGAACAAGCTGTCTAATGAGTGTTCTCTAACACCATAGACACAACTGCAACTCCGTAAACCCAACACAAGTCTTCTGCAAGACAACCCGGAAGCATTGTGGTCGTGCAAGAGAAGCTTAAATAACAGTTCCTAATAGTGAAGTTTAGTATATCACAGGTATAAAGTAGCCTGCATTGCAACAAGTCTGAACCCAGGAAAATATCAGCAAGTATTCGAGAACCTGTTATTTTCTGGAATTGGGTAGGATCAATGATAGGTAGAAAGAACATAATTGGGTACAGACTCAGTCTACAAGCCCTTACCTGACTGTCTTCCGTATTAAAGTCAAAAGATTGAGAGTCCATATTCCCCCTTAGTTTTCCTACCAGATCAGGCCGCTCCTCCCCCTTTACCATGTAGAAATAATTTTGAATATTTTCCCTTTTCATACAAACACCCACACAGTTCCACGCTCACAGCTGCTACTGGATGGCTTCTGGTGGTGCTGTGGGGAGGCAGACAGCCTCAGAGGGAATACTAGTACCCTTCTCTGGGGAAAGTCCCATGGAGTTGTTCCCTTTGTTTCGCTGGCTAGACTCCTGACCCTGCTGCCTCTCTTGCCTGAGGTCTGGGCATAACAGAAGCAGCTGATTGTGGCCTGCCAGCTGGTATCTGAGCAACTGCTTTTGGGCTTCCTTCCAATTCCCAGGATCCTGCAGGGTCAGCTGCTGAGCAAGAGATCCTGGAACACAGGTGAGCCCCTGGGATGTGATTCTGGGAATCCTCGGGGCAGGTGTAGCGGCTCCTTCCTCTGGGACAGCACGGCGACTAACGTTCCTTTTAGACACTCCATCCATTGACTGTTGGGAAAACTGGTTCTGCCTTGCCTGCATGACCTTTATCCTCATATCTATAAAAAGAAACATAAGGGAAGAATGGATTTCGTTTTTAATCAGATTACATGGCTTTCATGACTTATATATTTGACCATCATAGCAGCATAGTCAAAGAATAAAATACTGAACATCTATTTACCAATTCCTAAATAAACTTAGAAATATTTTTCATAAAAAGTAATATACCTCATACTCAGTTTGTAATTGATATTAGCCATGTAACAAAAATGTGATTATATCATTCTCAGAAAAAAAAATCACTCATACAATGTTATTAAGTTACAAGTATTTTTAATTGTAAGCATGGATCAAATCTGAAATCCACATCACAGCCAAGGCTAAGCATTAGGTCAACCAACACCAGTATTAAAGGAACTGAACTAAAAAAAACACTGGTAATTTTTAATAATATAAAATAACACATATTTGCAATGATAAAGAAAATCAATGTATGTTCCACACTAGCTTCACATATTATTCTGTATGTATTCTTAAAACAACTTTCTGGAGTATGGGGTCCTATGATCTCTGCATTAATTGTAAAGGAATTAAGACACAGATTAAGTAACTTTCTGAGACCAGAAATAAAGCAGGAACAGACCTTATATAAAAATTCAATTATTTGTCTGCACAGCTTTTGTGAAGCCAAGACTACACAATACTGTGTAATGATTAGGACAACCACAGAGAATTAAGAGGCAAATATAATAGTGAAAACTAGAGGGTGTGCATTCATTATCCTCTTCTACTAGTTGGCTGTGAGATGGTCATCCTACCTCTTAGCATCTCCTGACTCTAGTTGCATAACTTTATACTATCCTAATATGTATGGGACCATTTCGTGCATGCAAATGGCCACCTTTCATGTGTATTATTATTTACAACAATGAGAGATCTATCCCAATTCTTGGGAGGTAGTTAGTGCCCATTTAGCTTGCATTTTCCCTCTAGTCCTTTATTCTTTGGCCCTCAGCGCAGATGGCAATTGATTAACCGGTACATGACACAGTTGCAATCCACAGTTGCCTTGTTTAGTGTTAGGAGACAGTGCATCTTTATTTTAACATAAGAAACAGGGCACAGAGCACTTCAATTCAGTCTAACAGTGGATTGAAAAATGACATGAAGACTTAAAAATTGAATGGTTCCTATGAATATGTGAGTGATGCTTTTTATTCAGGGTGGAAAAATGAGAAGAGATCGTATAGCTCATATTATTTCTACAGTGCATAGATTAATATCTGAGAAGCACATGTTATTCATATCTCCTCTATCTCTTTCCATAGTCTTGTTGCATGCCATTTATCTTCCAGAGTCGCCTAACTATGGAATGATTCCTTTGCTGAGATCTATAGGAACTTTCTGGTCTCTCTAGTTTTCCCACAAGGTCTACAAATCTTTCCTGAAGTGTTTCTTGACAGCACAACTACATTGGTTGTTCAATGCACACTGATTAGAGTGTCTATGTAGCTGTCTCTACTATTGTCCATCTTCACGTGTGTGGCGGCTCATTCCTCCTCTAAGGTTTCTGAATGCCTTCAAGGGTGGAGCTGTTTCCTGTCATTGACTGTGCACAGTCCTTGTGCCCCCTCCTGTAGCCTTTACTGGACTCGATATCAAGTCCATGGCTACTGTTCCCACCAGAAGCAAAAGGCAGTTTACCAAGATCAGCAAATAACCAAGGAATAAGCATAAAAGTTGTCATATAGATGCAGACTTTAAAAGAAAACATGGGTTTTGAATTTTAATCCCTGGATAAAATCAATATCACTTCATACCCGAGGAATCAAACACTGCAAGTCACTTTTTTTCTCTCAGTCCCTTGAAGATGTTCTTAGTCTGGTTTTGAGAGACCTTTCTTGGAAATCCCCTGACATCTTATTTTTCAAGTTTATTAATGAAAGACTAATTCAAGACTAGCTTTCTTTTGCAGATCTCTAAACATTTTTAAAATCTCCCATGAATTATGTACATGGCTGCTCCAATCAGCAACATACCTGACAGACACCCCAGCTGAAATGAAAGTTCACAGTGTAAAGCCCAGGGAGCTGACCACCTCCCACTGTGAGCTTATAGACAGAACTAAGTCAGCACACATTATATGTCACTGCCGACATCAGAAGGAATCAGCTCCTTTGATCTTGGACCTCCACAGGAAGCTTAGATCTCAGACAAATTAGATAAAAAATAAATTTATAGTAGATATGTATCCTAAGGCATTCAGCTGAATGTTTGGGTTTAAGGGAAGGAAGGTTAGTGAGTATCGAAACATATGAATTAACATGCCTCCTTCCCACAAAGGCCTTGCTCATGGGTCTCCTCTAAAATGGAAACATGACTTCAGATTACTCAACCATGCTTCTTAGCATCCATTATCAGGTATGCTGAAACTTCTGGGAGAACATATAAGCTGTGGGCAAGAGGCATCTGTATTCTACTAACAGAAGGACACCATGTGTTGAGGACCTCCTGAGTGTATGCACATTAACTACAACTTCTGCAGCTCTCTTAGTCTCTTGACTTTCAGAATGTTCTCACACATCAACCACATGTTATGCCTCTCACATGTAATGTTTGCTCTGGTGAGTATCCTTCACTCATTTTTTTCTTTCTTTTTGATTTGCATCATGAGCATTAGCAACGAGTGTTCTCTCATTCTCTATCTTCATCTGAAATGCTCACATTTTTTTTTTTCTTAACCCTGGTCTATGTATGGTGTTCAGCGTTGACTCACTGGAGTTCTTAGTAGGATTGTTTCATATGCGACTTGTGGCGTCTAAAGCAGAGGTTAGTAGAAGGAATCCATTCCTAACTTGTCAATAATGTTGAGAATCTTGCCCACACGTTACAGAAAATGTAAACATAGTTCAGAAACACTATTGCCTGTGTTCTCTTTAAATTCCATACTCCTTTATGTGGAAGTTATTGTTTAGTTTAATAAGCCACACATTGTTCATCAAAAAGTCAAGAAACTTAGAAAAAAGAAGACCAAGGAAGAAATATATTTAGTCTCTCACATAATGTCCCTAGCGCCCTGTACATTCTTGGTTTGGAGATACTTTATCCAGCTAATGTATGTCTGTGAAATTGTCTTTTTTGCTTCATTTTTTAAAAAAATGTAGCTCTAAGTAAACACTCGATAGTCAGGTTGACTTGTTTCTTGTGTAGAGTGCTTTGCTTTTGAATCTTTTTATGTTAACAAAGAAACGGGTTTTACGGTGTCATTTTTATATATGGGTTACTGTACTTTGCTTTCTTCTATTCCTCTTTACTACTGGCATTCTCTACAATTCTGTTTTGTTTCTTTCTTAACAGATTCTGTATCTAGCCCTACAAATGTAATATACACATATATTTCCATTATTGTATTAGTATACACTTATATTAATATCACATGATCTTAAGAATATTAACATGAATTTCAGCTCTCTGCTAGATCATAACATTCCCACACCCATGTCATCATTTTACTCAATTTATTTTAGAAGATTGGCTCTTTCTCATTGGTTTATACTTTATGATGAAATTTAAAGTCATCTTATGCCACTTGGCATTGTATAAAATGGTTGAAATTAGATTAATAGGTCTTTGTAAATATTAAATCCATTTACAAACATATCATTACCCCTGAATATACTCCTTAAACTATTTGGCAAAATATAGTTTTTAATAGGTTCACCATATCTTTCATTGTTATTTTTCAAAGTCAACCACATACTTAAGCCAATTTCATCATACTTCCAAAATGCGTCCCATTAGCTTATTATATTAGTTCACTTTGTGATGCTCTATGAAATACCTAAAAAAGGGAGGGTAACTTCACAAAATAAATCATCATCTTTAAATGCCAATATCATCTGCAAATGGTCTCCAACATTGTCTTTTTAATTTTGATTTACATCTGCCTACATTCCACAGTGTCAAAAAGGTGCTGTAAGAAGATATGACTAATTTACTTGTTCTGTCCTCATTTTGGTAGGAAATCTAAAGTTTTATTGTTAATCAAAATTTTGTAGCAATGAAACTGTTCAATTAGTGTGTATTTCCAGTTATTTTAGGAAAATAAGCACTAGATTTTATTCATGTTTTTAAAATGGGATATATTTACTCCCTTTTTTATGTGACACAGAGAAGCTATTAGTCATTGGTTTTCAAATACAGTTACCCTTACCTGTGGGCTTAAAGAAATGTCTTAAAGTTCTTTCCTGTTTTTTCCAGTGGTTTTTAACGTGATAATTACAGTGGTAAAAGAAGTTCTGCTTAGAGAAGATATAAATTTATATCAAAAGATAAGATAGATACAAATAAGTCTGCATTAAGTAGCCAAGAGAAGAGTATTGCAGCTCTCCCAAATAAAGGAGTATAAAAATTGTTTCATTTTGAATTTGAAAAAATATGACGAACTAGAGATGTGGACACATATGAGAACATTCTGGAAGGGAGGCCTTTGTTGTACACAGAGGATGCTGTCACTGAAGGTAAAGAGACGGGAGAAGAGGAAGACACAGATTGCTAGATAGTAAATGTGACTGTATTAAAGATATCGTGAAGTGAAGCAAAAGAAGAGTAGATCAAGCACACGAACAAAAATCAAATTGATAAAATTCAGCAATCAAGCTAGAGGGAAGGTGAGGAAGACTGAAGTAAGAAAGACAGAAAACGTTGAGGAGTGTCGCCTGGGAGACTCGGGTGTTATTAACCAGTTTAAGAGAACAAGAGGACAGAGAAAACACACTCCAGGTCTGAGTTTTCACAGCAATGAAAGGCGAATTCTCTGGCATTTCTACAAACTGGTGTCTGCACAGTGGACAACACGGCCCCTAACACATGAGATTGGAAACAGTGTAATACGATTCAGGACCTAGAGGGGTTAGCTATGTCATTTGAGATAATGCTCTTTTCCACCTTAGCACCCAGTTCCATATCTACATTCTGTAGTTGTGATTTCTTTATACTTATTGACCGAAATTCCTCTCTAACTGGCCATAAAATTGGGCCCCCAAAATGTTAGAATTTGATGTAAGACAGGGAACTAGGTAACATCTCCTTGAAATTACACGAAGGATGTGTAAGTTAGTATTTAGTAGATGTGATATTGTAATTAATATTTAGTATTATGGTGAGAGGAACACTAAACTTCACTAATCATTCATTCTACTGGGTTCTCACCCAAGTCTAACAAACGTGCTCTTGCCATATTGAACCTAATAGCTTCTGTTATGGGCTTGACCCAGGAATTATGTAACATTCTAGTACCCTTGGTCTCTATACATTATCAACAGTGTTCTGCCTTTTCCTACGGCCTGGTGAGAAATTTGTTCCGCATGTCTTTCAAAGCAAATGTAACTAACCTGCCCCAGAATTCTGGCACTGAGGGAATGACTGGATCATACTTCCATTAATTTTACCACTGAGACACTTCTCTGTAAGACTATGATAGATCTAGGGGATATCTAGGGGACCAGATTGCTGTGGCTGAGACAGTCAGGCCTACAAAGAGTTTCTCAAGGCCATAGGTGTTATAATAATGGCACACATTCAGTGTGTCTTAATCCAATACAAAAACAGTCCCTCTTTATTCGAAGGTAAGAACTTAGGGAAAGCTGTATGAAGAATAATGCATAGCATCTATTGTCTCAATGGGCAGGGTTTGTGAGCAAACTAACGAGTTAGGTTCTCCTAGTTCAGTGAATGCTGCATAGTGATGAGAAAACCCAACAAATCATAGCACATGCTTAACTCACTGTGTGCTATGATTTGTCCTGTGATATTTGTAGACACTAATTTTCTTAATTGATACAGAATTTGTGTAACACACTAACTGTGCAGAGTATTATTATGACAATTTTACAAATTTAGAAACTGTAAGGCATGGGGAAGCTTGTTGTTACGTTTGAGGACAGAAAGTCTGTCAAAGGGTATATTCAGAATGAAATCCAGTTTGTTTGACTCTGTAGTTCTGTTCTCTCGCTTGCCACATTCTCCTGCTCCCCCCCACCTGACAGTGGGGAGCAGTTAAGTCTGAGGAGTAGAAGAGAAGCCTTCGAGATGCACTTGGAAAGAGTCTCAGCATGTCGAACCCCATGGCAGTGGTGCGCCCTGTGGGCTCCATCTTCACACTTCACTCCTTCTTCCACTCTTGCATCCACACAGTTTGTGTTAGTAGTGGTGACATAACAAGTTTAATACCTAAACTCAGCCCTACCATCGACATGATCTCCAGCGCTGAGGGAGCTGTTCCTGAAGGAAGGCAGTGGTGAGTGAGACAGTCAACCACTTTATTAGGAAATGCCTAAAGTTTAAAAACACGGAGGGGAAAGGGAAACTAAAATGTCATGTAAATAGTGGAAGAAACAAAACTATTTATAACTTTTGATAATTAGGCCATTTTATAATCTAGACGAAACTTGGATGATGAGGAAACAAACCTAGGATAGTCCTCAGGGAGGGCTCAGGCAACACATCTATTTTTAACTTGGATATCCTAATAAAATGGCTTCTTTGCTCCAATCTCTTCAGTCTAAACTGATCCCCAGGAGCCCCATTCCTTGTCTCATTCACGATAATTTATTAATAAGCTACTCCATGAAACCCAGGCATTTTGGAGTGTTTAAAATATTAATTTAAGCAAGGAGACTATGAGCCATGTAGATGACCATATTAGGTTAGGTGCAAGCACAGCATTGCCCCAGTCAGTGGCTGAAGAGGAGCTCATAGTGTCTGAAGGTAATTTCAAACAGAACCCTGAGCTGCGTGCAATAGAGAACAAGAGGCTTCCCCATCCAAGAGGTGAGTAAGTACCCCAGATCCCTATGGCTTGGTGTGGAATTCACAAAGAATTCTTGTGTCCTTTTCTGTTGCTTCATTCTTTATACTAGCTCATCCCCAGTTTATGCCTACACCCTATTATTGTTATTATTATTAATTTTCATTATCATTTTTATTATTATGAAGAATAGTTTGAAAGACTGTGCTTTATAGCTAGCTACGTTTGAAAAAATAGAAATGGTATTTCCTTCATGGGAAATGGAACATTCAAAAAAGCTTCTCTGTGTATGTATAAGCACACACATGGACATAGAGACACACATGGACACACACATATACTCACTTTGAGTGGTATATTATATGTGCTTTAACAAGTAAAGCTTGCCTGAAGATCAGAGGGTAAAACAACCACACTAGTCAACCATACAGGCCAGGGAAGGGTGACACATGCTTTTAATCCCAGGACTCAAGAGACAGAGACAGATGGATCTTTGTGAGTTCAAGGCTACCCTGGGTGACATAATATCGATCCAGAAACAGATCCAGGTGTGGTGACTCACATTTTTAAACCCAGTCTCCCAGTACTAGAGAAGTGGAGATAAGAGTGATATGGCTAGGCAGAGAGAGGAATATAAAGGGGAAGAGACAGGAACTCAGTGGAGTGTGGAGTTTGAGGATTTGTGGAAACAAAATCTTGCACTTTTAGTATGAAGATTTGGTAGAGGTAAAACCACTATCTCTAGTGGTTGGCTGTTTTACTTTCCTGATCTTCAGACTGAACCCCAATATCTGTTTCTGGGTTTTTATTGTTCGTGCTACACTCACCTGCAAGCACACAACTGAACAGCTCATTCAAATATAATTTCAGACTGACAGATTTTGGTCAAAATGAACTCAGAACTATAAAACTGGTAATCCTTTTCTACTAGAAAACGTATTATTTGACTCATAGGAAAACTAGAATTGTTTTTCTATTTAGAACATATGTTTTAAAATGTTTCAGAGTCATGGAAACTATGTGAATATTTTTCATACACAATGTTCATACTTGGCAAGCTCATATGCTCTGGTTACTGTATTCCCATTGTTCACCCTTAGTAGGCTAAAAGCCAGGCACTCAGCTGAGGCAATGGCTTCACTTTCTCTGCTTTATATCAGTTCTAATGGTAACTTAGCTGTGGGACAAGTACAAACACATACCACAGCACAGCAAATGATACATGCTGCTAACAGTACCAAGAAAAAAACAAAGCAAGGTTAAGCAATACTGACTCACTTCTTGAGGGTTCTGCACTAAATCTAATTTGCACAGTGGGCATTTGGCAACTACACTCTCTGCTTTTCCAAACTCAATAATGTTGCCAAATTGGCAGCTTTGCAACAGCTAAGGGGAAGATTATACGCCTATACCCTGGCTTTCCCTTCTCTCTGTTAAACAAACTCAAATGTGAAACCAATAATCTTTCTCTACGAAAAGATATATAAATGTCAGTTCGAACAACTGGTTACTAGCTGAGTGAATGCGAGGGGCCTGTGTCTTCCTGGATTGGGGTATTATTTAATTAAGAAAAATTAATGAAAAAACAAAAAAGGGGCTGTAAACTAAAGCCCTTCATAGCCTGACACCAGGGAAGGAGGAACATTGTTAATCCAGAGTCGTCTTCACTGATTCATGCTTACCTTCCCTCATCACAGTGTCTTCTTTTGCTGTCTTTACTTGTAGTCCTCGGTGTTTGGAAGAGTTACGGGCGTTCTTCTTTTGATCCTTAGCCTGGGATTCAGATATATCTTCAGGTTTTATTTCTGTATTATTGAAAAAAAGAAGTTTTTTTTTCTATTGTTTTGTCAGATTAAAAGACATTTTTGTTTATAAGAAGGACCTAATTAAGATATCTTCTTCCCTGCTCCCATATCCACCCTTCCTCCATCTCAACCATCCCATTCCCCCAAGCTCTCCCCAATCCTCTCCTTCTCCCTTTTCTCTCCCATTCTTCCCTTTCCTCCAACCCCACCTCCACTCCCGTGCTCCCAACTTTTGCCTGGCAATCTTGTCTACTTCCAATATCCAGAATGATATGGGAGCAGGGAAGAAGATACGTTAATTAAGGGAGTCATTTTAGGGTTGACAAGAGACTTGGCTCTAGAGGGGTTCCCAGATGTCCAAGGAGATGTCCCCAGCTAGGTCCTTGGGCAGCAGAGGAGAGGGTGCCTGAACTGGCCTTATCCCATAGCCACACTGATGAATATCTTGCATATCACCATAGAATCCTCATCTGGCAATGGATGGAGATAGAGACAGAGACCCACATTGGAGCACTGGACTGAGCTCCCAAGGTCCAGATGAAGAGCAGAAGGAGGGAGAATATGAGCGAGGAAGTCAGGAATGCGAGGGGTGTGTTCACCCACTGAGATGGTGGGACTGATCTAATGAGAGCTCACCAAGGTTAGCTCGACTGTGACTGATCAAGCATGTGATCATACCGGACTCTCTGAATGTGACTGACAATGAGAACTGACTGGGAAGCCAATGACAATGGCACTGGGTTTTGATTCTACTGCATGGACTGTTTTTTTGGGAACCTAGTCTGTTTGGATGCTCACCTTTCTAGACCTGAATGGAGGGGGAAGGGCCTTGGACTTCCCACAGGGCAGGGCACCCTGACTTTCTCTTAGGACTGGAGAGGGAGGGAGAAGAGGGGAGTGGGAGGGAAATGGAAGAAGGGGAGGAGGTGGAAATTTTTAATAAATAAATAATTTTTAAAAAAAGAAGGACCTAAATGTGCAGCTATTTCTGACACTCCTATCTCTTCCCATTGTATTCCATATTTAACAGGATGTATATAATATGCCTATAGCTTAAGAAAAGATTATATAAACACCCATCATGTATCACTAACTTTATGATATAAAATTATATTATCTGATACATTAGCAGCCACACATTACTTTGGAGTGCTTGAGACATAGCTAGCTTGAGTTGAGATGTATTGTAAATAGAAAATGTACACCTGATTTGAAAAAAATCAAAGCATCCAATTATTTTATATCCACTACACATTGAAATAATATTTTGGATATTTAGGATGGAGGTTATTTAAAACATTACTATACTTACTGCATTTTGAACAGTATAGCTTATGTCTTGTCAATTAGACAAGTCTACTTCAACAGCAAAAGTTGCTAAAACTTTTAATTAGAAGTAAATAATAGATTCAATGGAAGCATCCAAGAAATTTACAAGGAGTATATCAGAATTTTCACCCACTGTTAACCTGTTTGGACATTGTTGAGGACACCCCTTAGAGGGGCATGATTGAAACCATGATGCACAGGATGGCACTATTGCGGGGCAAGGCTTTATAATTTACCCATTTCTATGACTGTGAAATGCAACATTGACATCTCCAAAATTCAGTGTTGAGGGCCATGTAAACAAGTGTTTTGAAATATCAAAAAAATGTCTTATGTAGCTTTATGACTTTGTGTTGGGTTATAGTTATAACTATTCTTAGCTGCATGTGGTCACAGTCAGTCCAGGGCCTGCTAATTAAACATACCTGCTGCTGAGACAATGGTCTTTCATCCTGACATTTGTATTTTAATAAAATGCCAGTAGCCAGGCAGGAAGTATAGGTGGGGTGATGAGAACAGGAAAATTCTGGGAAGAGGAAACGGTCAGTCTGCAGCCAACGCTCAGACAGAGAGGAAGCAAGATGAGAATGCCTTGCTGATAAAAGGTACCAAGCCACATGGCTACTACAGACAAGAATAATGGGTTCATGTATGATGTAAGGATTAGTTAATAAGAAGCTTGAGCTATCAGGTCAACCAGTTTATGATTAATGTAGATTTCTGTGTGTTTCTTTGAGACTGAATATCTTTGGGACTGGGAGGGACAGAAACCTCTGTCAACACATACCAGCTGATGAATGGGGCCTCCATCCTTGGACCACTAAGAACATGCACTTCAAGAGAACTGTATGACTTGATCCCCACTTTCAGTCCCATTCTCTTTCTGTCCCAGATGTGAACACTCATTACCATATATGCTCACATCATGATGGGCTCCACCAGCAGCCCTGACCACAGTCCACATTAACAGGACTGCCTCACTGCATACTTCCTCTTCAAAACTATGAGTTAAATAAACCTTTTCTGTTTTAAAGTAGCTGTTTCAAGAGTGTCATTGTAGTAACCTGAAACTGACTAACATAGCAATAAAACAAGAAAATCAACATTGGTGCATTCACATAATACAAACAGATATGTTCTTTGGGCTCGAAAAAGAAAATAAGATCCTCCACCTACCCCTGACTGAAAGGGCACTTCATTTCGATGTCTTCGTTCATCAGATAAATGTAAACATTAAAATACATCTATGGCCTGGCAAGTTGTCTCAATATAAAACATTTGCCACTTCAGTGTGAGGATGTGAATTCTGATGCGTAGAGTCCACAGAAGCAGGACATGTGAGCACATATATGGAATGTCTGCACTCCTACATTAAGATATGAGGTGGAAACAGGAGAGTTTCAGGAAGACAACAGGCCAGCTGGCTCAGCAGACCCAGTGGCCGGCAATAAGAGATCCTGTCTCAGACAAGGCAGAAAGTGAAGACATATATAGGATGTTCTAGGATTTCCACATGTTCCCCATGGGTGGTCTACCCTGACACTTCCACATACAAATATGCACGTGTGAGTACACATGAACACACACACACACAAATAAAAATGCAATACAAGATGCATAGAAAGAATTCTCTAAAGGAAACAAAATTGTGTGGTTGAACTTCAGGCTTAACTAGCTGATGTTGTACAAAACACAATTTTTACTTGAATTATTAGAAAGAATTACCAGGAAACAAATTTTGCATACTTTAGAAGTTAGAAGATTTATAAAACAATTGTGATTTGCTATTATATCAGTTGATAGTGTGAGAATTCAAAGTGCACTGGAAACTTAGAGTTTTGGGAAATGCATCACTAGCTAGGAATTTTACAGATTTAGAATCCATTTATAATATTTATATCATTTTAAATTTTGTGTATGTTTGTTTATATGTGTGTGGCCATGTACAGGTGTATAAAGAGATCAGAGACATTGGATCCCTTTGAGTTAGAGTTACAGGCAATTTCTAGTTGCCTGCTGTAGGTGCTGAGAATCAAACTTGAGTCCTTTGTAAGAAAAGTGTGTGCTCTCAGTTTCTGAAAAATTTCTCCAGCTCTACAATTTCTAATTCTTCATGATTCATGATGATATTAACAAAAATTCTTTCTAATTTGTAGAATAAAATTTGTCAACATTTAGAAGCCTGCCTGAATTACTAAAATGATATTCATGGGGCCACGATATAATACTTCAAACTCATGCATGGGTAAAAGCCCCATTTAAAGTATAAGATAGGAATATTTTATAAAGAATAAACTGCAAAGGAGACTACTATCTTTCATATAATGAAACACAAAAAGTACTTTAAAATGGACATCAAAAGACACAAAACAAACTCACTTTGTCAAGTTTAGATATATGATAAAAGTGTATCTAATGCTCCAAAGTCAACTATGATTCTTTCTTATTCTTTGTCTGTGTGAGGCTGGTTGTCTTCACCGAGTTCAGCATGAATATGCCCATCACGCTATCAACACTGCAGCGGCTGGAAAGTCTAATTAGAAAGCCACTAGAGGGGCTGAGAAGAATGCAACAGCTTTCACTATGTTTTGAACAATCAGTATTTTAAAGAAAAAGGTTAATTACATTTATAAGCAATACACGCTTGTGTAAATTAATTGGTAACATTTAAATACTCGGTTTTAACTTCTTACATGGAAATACTGATGGATAGAGCGCATACAGAAAAAAGCTGCTTGGGTTCTCAGTAATTAATCACAATCCAATGAGACAAAGCAAAATTGAAAACTAAATGTATCATTAAGTCGGAGAATTATGTCCTCCTAGAATGTTGAGAAAGAGCACGACTCTAATTCTAAGAAATTAATGATTGTTAATTTTAGGTTCAAAAAGCACAAGATGCATATTATATAAGGAGGCACTTTAGATTAACTACTGTAATCTTCACTGAAGGTCCTTCCAAGTGTTTCATAATTTTTAAACATGTCGATAACCTCCTAGAAAAATAAAATGTACTACAGAGAAATGTATCCACAGATATTGACAGGTTTGATGAACAGAAAGGGACCGGGATGAACAACTTATATACTGATAACTGTAGGAAGAAGCTACTTCTAGAACTGAGCGATAGGATTCACAAGGCTTAGTGAGTGGCTTGTGGAATTAGGTATTAAATTTAAATTAAATTAAAATTGATTAATTAATTAATTAAATTATTAAATTAGAATTTTACAATCTACTTCACAGGATCATATGACATAAAAGATCATGATAATCCACCTTACAAACCAGAAAATACATAAATATATACACTCAACATATATACACATACATACAAACACACATGCAAACATAGCTACAAGAGCACACATATACATAGAAACATACACACAGACATACACAAACACATCCTCACTCATATACACATGTACACACATACATACTCAATACATGCTCACATACACAAACACACACATAGACACATAAATACGCACAAATGTAGATAGAACTTACTGCAAGTTTAAACACTAAATAAAATAGAAACTGAAGTTCAAGACATTACAGGCAATACAGTTCAGAACCCCTTTGAGACTGTACTCCCTTATAGAGGATGAAGATTTTGCTAGTAGCTAATCCAGCCCTGGTCATCAGGATGGAGAGAGAGACAGGGTCTCCAGACTGAATGCTGTCAGATATGGTATTTATCAATTAGTGCCGGCCTTCTCTCAAATAGCCCTTGAAAGGTCAAACACAGTGGCCATCCTAGTAATCAGGCCTGGCTACATCCCATGGGGTTCCTGTATTTGAATCTTTTCCTATTGCCTTTACTCATCATGACACTTTTTAGGTAGTGACTGCTTAAGGTTGAGGTTTCATGCTGGCTACTCGCATCACTACTGTTTCTTTGTGATACTCAGAGGTGCACAGTGTGAAGTTTGGGTGTCAGGAGGGATTTTTCAGTAATTTATCTGCCACCTTTTCCTCGAAGCTCCACCCGAGACTCCCCTCAGAGTGCGTGTTAACTTACAAACATGTCGTTCTGCTTCTGGGGAAATGATTGAGGAGGTACACGGTTTTTATTGTGGTGGTGGTGGTTTGTTTGGTTGGTTTTTACTTTTTCAAGACAGGGTTTCTCTATAGCTTTGGAGCCTGTCCTGGAATGCACTCTGTAAACCAGCCTTTGTTTCAAACTCCAGAGATCCACCTGACTCGGCCTCTTGAATGCTGGGATTAAAGGCATGTGCCACCGCTGCCTTGTTGAGGCACATGTTTTTTGTATCTTCTCACTTGCACTGACTTTCCTCCTTCCAGGGAGTTTGTCTCCGTGTTTTTTCTTCTTTGACTCTCACAGCTATGTACCCAAGACAGTCGGAAGGCTATGTACCGAAGTGTGACCTTGGACATCTGATCATTTTGTCCCCACCTCAGGAATGTGAGTATTGGGGTTTTAGATGTGACACACAATGCCCAGTAGTATGAGGTCCTCAGAATCAAACTCAGGATTTCCTTCACGCTAGGCTACCATTGTATGTTGCGAGCTGCATTCCTAACCCAGCTCTTTAACATGCCTCTGATAGGGTCACTTGCAAAGACAAGGTTGTGCAGTCAAACCACATGGGTTTTCTGCGGTGTGTGATAATACACAGGTTGCTTACCCTTACTGGATATCACTCCTCAATACCTCGATTGTAGGAATAATAATCACTACCTCTTCCAATAAGTTGTTTAAGGAATTAATAAACTTATTGATCTAATGCACTTAGAACCTGATCAATAAATGTAATAACTTAATATAATTGTTAATATTAAAGATCAGACAGTGCCCGTCTTTATTATATTAATTGAAACAGTGGATTCCATGTAGTTGTCTAAATCACAAAATGATATAAAATTTCTTTTGAAGACAGACAAATCATTAATATATTATACATGATTACTTCAGACATTTTTACCAACCCCCTCCTCTGAACTACATACTTCTATTTTTGTTTTTCCTGAACCAGCAGCATATGAGACAGCTCAGAGCCAGCCATGACACCACTGAGCACAGGGACAAGGCCAGGATGATAGTGGATCTCTCCTTGTGGGTCACTGGTAAGACAGCAAAGGTCTTGGATCGAGCTGTAAAATTAGCACCTGTTGGGGAAGGAAAAAAAAAACTTTCAATAACATTAAGATAGCAATATATAGCACAGAGCAGGCATGTGTAAAGTATTTCTTTAAAGTTATTAAGCAGATGAATCAATGCTAAATTTAACTTTCATGTTCTAGAAGAAGTCTAAAATGACAGTAAGAAGTCATAAGTTTCTGTCCTATTGTGATGAGAAACCCTTCTGAGTCCTTAATTTGATGCTCAGACCTACTTTTTCTGTCACTGCAAAATTATAACTTCATTCACCCTTAAGGCCTAGTTATGAGAAAACATGTTCTTTGCTCCAGAATGGATGGAACTACTCACTTTAATAATAGTCACATGATGGAAAAACTCATCATAAATAAATAAAAATTAAATAATGGGAATCTGGAATCTGCCTACAGCCCACAAAGTAATACTCTCCACCTCAAAGCACACAAAGAGTGTGGATAGTACTTTAGAAGATGTTTTTTTCATTTTGTGTGTGTGCATATGTGTGAACTTGTATGTGCACTTGTGTGTAAGTGCTGGCAGAAACCAAGAATACCACACCAGATCTCCTGGCACTGGTATTGCTGATATTTGTAAGTTCTCTGACATGGGTGATGGGAACGAACTCAGGTGCTCTTTATGAGTAGCACATGGTCTTACTGGCTGAACCACTTATCTATCCCAGATGGGATGGTTTTATATATAGTCAAACAAATAAACGAATTTGAAATTTGAAGTTTGTTGAATTTGCTTACAGTGTTCTTCACACCAGGTCACATGTTCTGTACACATGATGCTAAGAGTCCCAAAGTTAAGAACATTGCTATCAGTAACTGGTGAGCAGCTGCAGATACTGCTTCTGTGACTGTGGGTGGTGAGGCAAGGCGAGGCACTACTGAGAGAGAGAGAGAGAGAGAGAGAGAGAGAGAGAGAGAGAGAGAGAGAGAAGAAATACCTTAAACCACATATTTTCAGTAGATTAAAACTATGGTTCTCATCCTATTATTGTGTATAAAAAAGACACAAAAGAATTTGTTTAAGAACATTTAAAAAAATCTAGATGGAAATGTTTGTGTTAGTTTTATTTGTAACTGACCAAACTCAGTCAAATGTCCTTCAAGAGAAGACATCAGCAAAATGGTTGATCCATGGAATCAACTCTCTGCTCACTCAGCCCAGAAGAGAAGGTGATAAAGTGATGGATATGCGGAGGATGCTAAATCACCTCCAATAACGAAATTTAACATTAAATGTGGTGTTCTGAAGGAGAATGTTGTCTACATGGCAGACTCTGTTTATACAACATACTAAAAAAGACCAAACTGTGGATACAGAACATGCTAGTGTTTTTCAGTGGGCAGGAGGCTGAACTGTGTGCACAAACAGGGCAGAAGTTCCCGGAGAAATAGTGAAAATTATCTGTATCTTGATCGTTTTGCTGCTTACAGTAATCTATACAAGTATTTCAAGTCATTAAAAACCCAGAAACATCCCATTTAACCACATTGGAACACAGGACTTAACTCCTTAGGTCCAAATGAGAAGCAGAAGGAGGGAGAACATGAGCAAGGAAGTCAGGATCAGAGGGAATCTTCATCCGACGATAGATGGAGATTGAGACAGAGACCCACATTGGAGCACTGGACTGAGCCCCCAAGGTCCAAATAAGGAGCAGAAGGAGGGAGAACATGAAAAAGGAAGTCAGGACCGCGAGGGGTGCGTTCACCCACTGATACAAGTGGACTAATCTAATGAGAGCTCACCAAGGCCAGCTGGACTGGGACTGAACGAGCATGTGATCAAACCGGATTCTCTGAATGTGGCTGACATGGGGGCTGTCTGAGAAGCCATTGATAATGGCACTGGGACTTGTTTCCTCTACATATACTGGATTTTTGGTATCCAGTCTGTTTGGATGCTCACCTTCCTAGACCTGGAGGGAGGGGGGAGGAACTTGAACTTCTCACAGGGCAGGAAACCCTGACTGCTCTTAGGACTGGAGAGGGAGGAGGAAAGGGAGCGGGGGGAGTGGGAGGGTATTGGGAGGAGGGGAGGAAGAGGAAATTTTTATAAATTAATAAAAACAAAACAAAACAAAACAAACTTGTCTATAGTCTCAGAAGCTGAATGCATTAATTATTAAGATAACTATATGAGAGCACAGTAATCAGAATTTACCACATAGTATGCTTTATATTTATGTATTACCATATTCAACTACTTTAAATATTAAAAATGAAAAATCAGGATGATTATTTGCTTGTGATCATGAGTTATAGCTGGCTTTTCTTCAAATAGCTAATTCAAAACAAACCTCGATCTCATAAAAAAAATAAAGCAAATTGTTATTTTCTCTACTCAAAGACACATCAAGCATTTTTTTCCATGTAATTTCCAGGCATGTGCCTGACAATTTGTTTGGAAGCTACAATTAGATGTTAGATGTGTTGACTCTGTGCTGACTCACCTCAGGGCTCCCAGAGCTGTTGTAATAACATCAGGTACAGTGGCTCTCTTGTGCAAGCATATAGCTTAGTTCTGAGCTGAACTTACCTTGTTTATTGTGAGCATCTGCATAAGGCCAATTACCCCCAAAAAAAGGAGGAATGGATTTTGCTAGGTGCTCAAGGAAGTCAGTCAAAATTCTTAATTCTCCTTCCCATTTTTATTAATAATAGTGACACTAATTGTCCTGCTTTATATAAGATATGTAAGATATGTATGTAAATGATTCAATATATGCATATGACAAATATTCATAAAAAATCAGAATACAATACACTCCAGAAAAAATAACACAAATGAATATGATGAGGGAAAGCATTCCGAAGGAAAAAATGGTCTAGAAGGATTTTTAAAGGCCTAGCACATTCATAAATAAAAACAGAAGAAGATAGAAGCTAAGGTAAAATACTGAAAGCCAGGGAACTTTTCACAGGCATTAAACGTCAGTCAAGACACTCTAGCTAGCATTCTGACTGTAATGGATTGTAATTAAGGGAAGATTCAAGGCTGAGAAGTGATATGAGTCACCTGGATACAGATTAATCTGTAAGGTATGTAAAACACACCATCATCACCACAGCAAACAATGAATGGTTGAGAAGTCAAAGACATTGAAATCCAACTGTAATCTGAGAGATAACAGAAGTCCATGGTGGAAACACCTGACCTTCATGTATTTTTTATTAATTAAATTTTTTCATTTATTTACATTCTGACCACATTTCCCTTCCCTATTTTCCCCTTCCCTTCCTTCCCGCTTCCCCTATCCACTCCTCTGTCTCCATTCAGAAAGGGGCAGGCCTCTCATGGGCATCAACAAAGCAAGGCATATCAAGTTGAGTGAGAACCAAGATTCTCCTTCGGCATCAAGGTTGGGTAAAGCAACCCAGCATGGGAAATAGGTTCCCAAAATCCAGCTCAAGCACAAGGGACAGGTCCTGATCCCAATGCTGTATGGTCCCACATACAGACCAAGTTACACAACTGTCACACACATGCCGAGGGCCTAGGTCAGTTCTCATGTAGGCTCTCTATCTGTAGATAAAGGAGTCTACAAAGCAGACCCCAGCTAAGACCCTAGCAATAGTGGAGAGGGTGCCTGAATTGGTCTTCCCTCATAATCAGGTTTATGACTACCTTAATTATCATCAGAATGCCTTTATCCTGTAACTAACAGAAGAAGATGCAGAGATCCACAGCTTTCAGATATTGTTAACAATATAATATTAAAAGCAATCCTAATATACTCACTTTTCCATCAGCAAATACTTCTTTGTGCTAGATAGTTCCATAACCTGGGGATATATCACTCAAATATATTCACCTAAGCAGAATTCCTGTCCCTCAGAAACTCAAGTTCTAGTAGGGAACCTAGCCCACAAACTATAGACAAACCAGAGCGATGTATACAAACTACAATGGACATGGCCATGAAGAAAACTAAAGTAAGGAGGGTAGACAACAGAACTACAAGCAGTGGGGTGTCAGGAGGGAGAATCACAGACTGGGTTGTCCAAATTGGACTCTGAAGATAAAACATTTGAAGGGAGACTTGCTGAGTGAATCATGTGGACTTAAGGAAAGTCTTCATATGAAATGCTAATTACAAGCAAAATTCTTTAGATTAAATAAGGTATGGCAAGGGAAAAGATCCTGGCCCTTGTGATTCACCAAAGAACTTTATGTCTAAAGGTAGTAGCAAGAATAGTCACAGCCCATACCATGGGGGCAAATGTGGAAGGCCCAGGTGGAACACCAACACCACTAGCCTCTACCGATCACCATTTAATAAACAGTATCTCAGGAAGGCATAAGAGAAAAAGTTGGATTCATTAGTGCATAGAAAGGACTCAAGAGGATCCCATACAGACACACTAGATTTCTTTAATTTCACAGCTCCCCAGGGAGCTAAAATACTTCTAAAATAAAATGATCCTAAGAGTGACACCTGCTTCAAAGACTCATGGTCCCATATGATCAACATGATGTCAGTAGTGATTAAAGAAGCAGAGTATTCAATTATTTGCTTTTCTTCCCTTTTGTCTTTTAAAGCTTCTATTTTAATTTAAACCTTATAAAAATCTCTATATGCAGAGCTTTGCCTCAGAGACTTAGCTTTGACAAGTGCTTAATAATAATAGTATCTGGGTTTATCAAATACAGGCCAATAGTTACTATTTCAGAGTCTTTTAATTTGTTATTTTGGAGAAGATCAGCACATCACAAATTATTTTTGTCTGGTAAAGATATAAAAGGTATCTGTGAACATGTAACTCAAAGATTATGCCTTTCTTTCTCTATCGCCACTGACAATTGTCTTTTTGTATATCTCTACATGAAATTTTAAATCAAAAATCTTCTAGAATGCCATTGCTATTGTCTTGATTCCCTTACTAATGAATTAAACTACTTATAGTCAAGTGTTCATTATATATTTCCACCTGAGACACATTAGATATATTTGAAGACAGACATTTTCAAATGCCTTATATAAAGGGTAACTGGATCATTTTACAGTTTAGCCATGCCTTCTATGAGTGCTTTCAGGTACTGGAATGTCAACAGGTCTTCTTTCCATTTTCCATGTAGAAAGGATGAGGGAAACAGGACCCAAATTTGGGTCCATAATATTCAACAGCCCAACTGTCTCATGAATTTCTAATGAGTGTAAGTCACATAGAAGAGAGAAAAGGAGAAGAAGGGAGGAAAGGAGAAAAAGAACGGAGATGTGACATAAATGTCAGCCCCAACAGGAAAATGTACATTTAGAGTATTTTTCATGAAGTACCCCTTGAGCCCTAATTTTCAAAAGAGGTCTTACTTATACTTGATAGTTTGGCCAAATCACCATCTTCTCTAAATTGTGATTGCTTCTTATTCATGAAAGGGGCCATTCCAGTCACAAAGGAGAAGAGCTGCTTTTTCAGAAAAAAACAGATTTACTAGAACACAGGCCTGAAATTACCTGGAGGGGACGTAACAGTGAAAACAAAGCGCCAGTTGGACCCAGAGATCAAGACAGCCAGTCTGGAGAAGCTCACATAGCCATCCTGTGTTTCTGCCTGGGTGCATCCTATGAACAAATTGAAAACTGAGGTGATAGTTACTAAAACGAGAACAATATCTTGAAGTCTTTTCTTGAATCAGGGAATTGAATAATAAAGCAAAGTATTTCAAAAAGTATTAAAAAGAACACAGTATCTCTCCATTTCTTCTTAGACAAACCCTGGAACCAAATAATTCAAAACAAAATTTACTGAAAGAATAATATTCAAAACACTGTTCTTTATAAATAGCTGTGCACAGTCTATATAAAAATGTTCTACAATATGTTATAATAAATATTCTTAAGTAAATTATATAATTTATGGTAAGATTGTAGCCCCAAATATACCTTATTATAAGCTTATATTCCTAACTACAACTATGCATTTGACTTTTTTCTTGATACATTTCTATCATGTGGTTGGGTTTATAGGTTAGTAGTAGAATGCCTGTCTAGCATATGAAACATGCTGAATTCAAACAGTAGCATCATCAAGAAATAAATTCTGTTATTTGTTTATGGCAGTGATTCTCAACACGTGAGTCATGATCCACACAAGGGTCACTTATCAGATATCCTGCATATCAGCTATTTATATTATGATTCATAACAGTAGCAAAATAACAGTTAAGAAGCAGCAAAGAAATAATTTTGTGTTTGGAGGTCATCAGATCATGAAGAACTGCATTAAAAGGTTGCAGCATTAGGAAGGTTGAGAACCACGAGTTCAGGGGTTCTCTCTCTCTGTTTAGGGAATCTGCATTAATGCAATTGTAGGGTTAAGCTAGTACATCAAGATGACAACAACCTGTCATCAAATCATGAAAGGAAGAGTACACTGCTTTAGCAAGACAGATTGCGTGTGACTTGGTTTCTCTGAATTAAAAGAAAGGGTTTAAAAGAAGAGATACAAAACTTACGGTTTCTAATGAAGTACTCATACCTGAAGTTAAAGTGGGCAACTTAACTCCTGCTCACATCCCTATACCATAAACTGCCTTATATCCACTACACCTAAATTACTCTGCAAGTTAATAGCTCTTACACTTCTCTCTGAGAACGCCACTGTGGTGGACAAAGAGTTAAAAGAGTGCTCTTAAAGTTTCTGAATTTGATTGTGATGTCTATGGCTGAAAAGAATCATAAAGATTTAGTACATTTAGTGTTAACATTTTTCAATTCAATTGCTCAGTCCTTTTTATGAAAACAATGTCTTTCCTCATCAGTTTTGCAGCGCTAACTAAAAGTTTCTTTACACAAACCGTATTTTCTTCCATCTCTGGAGAGTCCCAAAATAAATAAAATCCCTAGAAAAATGAAAATAAATAAGCCAAGACTCAAATAAATGATAGGCGCCTAAGATAAATGTACTTTATACTCTTTAAAACCTATATGCATCAAAATTATGGTCAATAAACTCTTGCAAACAATGAGCTTCAGTGTACAGATGTTCAACATGAAATCATTTGCTGCAGTTTTTCCTTTGACAAACGTCCTTATTGTTCCCATCTTTGGAAGAATGCAAAGCAGCATTTAATCGAAATGTGTCCGTCGAGTACTGTGGGTTTGCCTCATAGAACAGCCGCCAAACTGCCTAATGGAAAGTACTTTAGCTCCAAATGGGTTTGCTTTTGCGTTAAATACCAGCTTGCCTTACAGATCTCCACGAAGATTCCCATATATATCTATGATATTTTCAGATTTGAAGCATATGCGCCCAAAAGCTGAAGCACTTGCTGCCAAGTACAGTACGTTACTCCAGGGTCCATCATATCTTTGGAATGGCTGTTATCAAATATACAAATGTGTTGACAGGCTCCCTGATCAAGCTGGTATTAACAAGGTACTGACTGAGAGACCTCGGGATGAAGTGCGGAGGCAGGCTGCAAAACAGCACTGAAATTGGGTTATAAAGCCACCAAGAGATCACACCTAGGTGTGTTTCTGCAGAGTATATGGTTTCTAAAATCCTTTCACACCCCAGCATCTTTCATCACCAACTCACTACTTGAAATACATGTTAGCAAACTGATATATCAATAATACTTGGAAAATATTTTTAAATGTGGGTTATTTTTCTGCAATTGTGATCCATAATTGAGTTTTCATAGGATCCAGGGAGACCCCTTAAATTAATTGCCTTTGTATATTAACCCACTGTTCTGTATTGATGGCATGTTTTTCATTGAGCAGGGACAAGAACAGAAAACACAGACCCTAAAATGCAGAATAAAAGTCTTAGGACTACACAGAGAGAATATTTCTATGGGTTGCTTTTTTTCTCTGGGAATTACCTGAAGTAAGTTAGTAAATCCTTTCAAAATTGTTTAAATCCCATTCTTTATGAAATTAAGGAGAAATATTTCAATCAACTTTTCTATTGGACATCCTGAAACAGGCCATCGTAGTAATATCAATCCAAGTAGGTTAGATTGACAAAATGACAAACTTATTCCTGCTTCATTTACATTTCATAACCACAATATGATTTTAAGATAGTTAGTGAAGTCATCCTTAGGATAAATGAAAGTACATAAAAGAAGGTTGATTTGGAAGAATTTTTAGAAAAGCATGAAGCGTAGTGTCTAAAGAATGGATAGTACTGGAAAACTTGTCGAGTATGACCAAGGTAGTGAGTATACACAAGATACAAAGTATGAGTGGGGTATGGCTGATAAGTTATGCAGTATGAGAACAGAATGAAGCATTAGTAAGAAAACAACAAATAAATACAGAATGAAATATAAGTGAAAGCTAGATATGAGTAAATTCTAGAGAAGGTAGAGGCAGATAAGTTCCACCAATCATGTACTATGTGAGGTTATCTTTTGTAGATGATACTAAATATGAAAAAAACTGGATATCATTATATCTTAAGCACTACCTATACTGAAACACAACCAACAGCAACAACAACATGACATTGAGCAATGGACAGAACAGCAACATCCAAACAGGAACTTCACAACTCTGTCTTGATACAGGTTTGAATGTTTAAATTTTGTATTTCCCAGCCCTGAATTGCTTATTAACTTGATTTCTCCAATATGTGGCTTGTTCCAGAAAAATGACGCAAGGCATCTTTGACCTTTTTCCCTGATATTTTAAATCTTAGTTCCAGACTGTATTATTTAGATAAAGAAACGACCCAGAGCAAAATCTGTGATGTCAATATGCATGTTAACTCTATCAAAGTGAAAAGGGTGAGAAGAAACTCTACATCTAACCTGTCTATGAGTAGATTCTCACCAAATGCATGTGTATATGAGCAGTTATGACAATGTACAACATAGCACTTTATGGAATTAGTGAAAATTAGCCATCAGGGAAGAAATTTCCCGATTGTTTTAAGATTTATTTCTCTATTTCATCCAATCAAACTATGTAGTGTAGCTGTAAGATCTTAACATTTGCTTATGTTGAGTAACAAAGAGCACTAACAACAGCCTGTGTTCTTTTGGAAACCTCTGCTGCACAGAAATAGATATCAATGGTCTTATCCAATCCTAGTCCCTCATGCTACACCACTGACCTGCCAAGCAAGATGCAGTTACTGCTGCAATAGTGGCATGACTATCAAAAGGATAACCCACCACTGTATAAATGGATTTTAGGTCTGTTACACATGTGGGAATTTAGCCTGATACAAACCTGATCAAAAGCTCATGGTTGTGAAGGTCACAGGCACTATGGGGGAACTGACTATGGCTCTTTGCTATAAGCTTGCGTTATCAAACAGCCTTATAAATATTTCTAATTATACTCCTAGATTGAGCTGTTCTTATCTTTGTTCAGAGAAGCTTTCTTTTTTCAGTGAGCAGGACTAAATGCAGATCCTTAAGTGGGCAGAGTACTGAGAACAGGTGACCATAAGTACTCATTCCCCAGTGAGACATCTGTATTAAATCCTCACCAAGGAGGCTAAGGGAATATTATGAAAGAGGGAGCAAAAAAAGGTCATAACTGAAAGATGGAGAGGAGTATTGAGAATGCTCTCTTGTGGATATGATCTAGAACAGCATTCATGAATTCACAGAGGCCAGCACAAGACCAAGTAGGTTGTATGGGTAAGGGGCTCACGAGTTGCTTCCCTTGGCTGAGGAGTTATTGGAAGTTGATCACTACTAGAGGAGGCACTGTGATTTTTCTTTGGAGGTGTGGTCACTTGTAGTGTCCCAGGAAAGACCCCATACTCACAGACAAAAATAAAGAGGACATGAGGATGTTTATTGGGACCCTCCCAAGGGAAGTTGGAAGGGAGAATATGGAAGGTAGATGTGATCATAGCACACTGTATACATATATGGAATTTTCAAAGAAGAAGCTTAAAAAATAAGGATAAAAGAAGTTTTAAAGTATAAATACACCATAGTAACTTAAAATTGACTACAATTTATTGCTACAGAAAAATCATGTCATGCATGTTTACACTCTCTTTGGTTCATGGGCAAATGCAAAATTGGGGGAGTTTCTGAAGAATACATAATCTCAGTTCTCTTTTTCCAACAACAAAAATCTTCATATTCAATGAAATATCTATATACATATATAATATAGATATACATCAAAATTCAAATATAATTAAGCCCCAAGGAAATTAGATGGAGCTAACATTGCTGCCAGGATGGGCATAAAGACAACAGAGGCAAAACTTCACTGTGAGGGTTTGCCCTGAGTCAGACGTCTGCACGTTTAATGTCTTTATTCTTCCTAAGATTAGAGTATGCATTTCTGTTTCCTTAATGGGAGCCACAGGTACCAGACAAATGAATGCCCGGGCAAATCTGTTACTCTTTATCCAAAAGCATGTGTCAGAGGAGCACTGTAGTGAGTACTGTAGTGAACCCAGGACTTGAGACACAGCAAAAAGCGAGGCTGTAAATATTTATTGCTAGGTTGGTCTCCCGTTTCAGACACATTTGGCCCTGTTGACAGAGATGAAAAAGAACTCAGAGAACGCTTTGAGTGTGTTGTGTTTGCTATGAATTCCCAATGGGGCTGCAATTGTTTGGATAGTGTTGGAGGATGCCCCCTGGGTGTTCATGTGCTGAAACTTAACATCCCTTGAATGTGTCCTTTACTTGGGTGTCCCTTTACTATGGGATCGCTGTGCATATTCTCTCAAGGTTTCCAAATTGTAATAGTCTTAACATAGGAAATTATATGAAACACATATTCAATAGAAGCTGAGGAAGGAAATGAGATTTAAAATTGATGAGGTCATCAAAAGACAAACATACATAAATATATATGTATGCGTATTGAGTTAGTATGTGTATATACATTCCATCTTCCTTGCATGTAAAAGTCTGTGGCACTCTGTAAGCAAAATGATCACTAGGCCCTTAAGATTCTGTAGTGATGAACCAAATAACCTCCTTTACTCTATAGAATTGCCAGTTTCAGAAATTTTGTTATAAGCAAACAATGAAGACAATATGAATCTTCATTGCTCAAAGTGGTAAGAAATACTTGAAAGCCGCTGGCACCGACCTTTTAGCATTGAATCTGAAGCCCCTTCCAGGGAAGCTGAAATAATCCAAGGCTCTGAAGGGAGACCCAAAGACTCCACTCTTTGGTTCTGGCAATAAGACAAGAAAGAGGGGGGAAAAGTGGACTTAGATTAACATTTTCTGAAGTTCTTTTAAATAAGGGGGAGTGTTCAAACATAAACATCACAAAGCACACATGCTCCTTAGGGAAAGAAGAAAATGATATATGTGCTCCTTTTCATGTTCACATCAAAATTAACTTATTGAAAAGAGACCATGGAGGCTATTGTGTGTAAATTTAAAGCAGGGAAGAGGACAAGGGCATCACAGGTATTCTAAGGAGGCTGATAAGAAGAAAATGTAGGAGAAGATGCCAGGCTAGGGAGATCCCTCAGTGGCAGAGCCTTGCTTAAGTACATCTCTGGGCTCCATCTTCCATACACACACACACACAAAAAAAAAAAAACAAAAAAAAACATAAAATAGACCCAAGGCCATGGAGTCTAAAGGTGAGAGTTCAGGAAACACAGGAGTGACAGACTTCAAGAATGAGCATTGGGGAGGAAATGCATCACAAGTCTGTGCTTGCTTCTGATAACTCTCGAACCTTCATAGTAAATGTGAGAAAACACTGTGTGATATGCAAGAATGACCAACATCAAGCTTGCATCTGCATAGCGCCTTCATCCCTATGTTCTAGCCTTTTCTGCCAGAGGAGATTGGTGCCTTATGCAGTCGTCATCAGAGAGGCTTCCTCTGGCAGCAGATGGAAGTGGATGCAGAGATGAACAGCCAAACATTATACAGAAAGAAGGGGTCTGGGTTGGAGGTCTTTATCAGGTCTCTCCCCTTGAAGATTCAGAAACTCCATAGACGAAAGAAAAAAAGACTGTAGAAATGTTTTGGAATGGAGGACACCAGAAGAACAAGACCCAACAAATCAACAAGGCAGAGCTCACATAACCTCACAGAGACTGAAGCAGCAAGCAAGGGGCCTACGCTGGTCCTGCACCAGGTCTTCTGCCCATGTGTTAAGATTGTCAACTTGGTGAATTTGTGGGACTCCTAACAGTGGAAGCAACTGAATCTCTGATCCTTTGCATGTTCTTGAGGCCCCTCCCCACATTGGGTTGCCTCGTCCAGTCTCAATATGGGACTTTTCCTTGTCGTATTGTATCCTGTTTTGTCCTATTTGACTGTTGTCTCTTGGAGGTCTTTTCTTCAGAGGGAACAGAGTGGGAGTGAATTTGGGGGAGAGGGTAGGTAGTAGGGAGCTGGGGAAGTGGAGGGCGGGGAAACTGTAGACAGTATGTATGGTATGAGACAAGAATCTATTTTTAATTAAAATAAAAAGAATGAGCAAAGTAGTGAGAATTTCTACGTGTTGCCAATTTCTTATGGCAGTCGCTCTGAAAATGAAGATGAGGGATGTTTGGCTATAAAGTACATGCTGTGGAAAGACGGCCAGATCTGAGATGCTACCTTCTCATCCAGGAAGACGAGCTGTGGTTGAACCGGCAAATCTATTCCCACTTCCCCATCTGAAGGCTGCACCAGAATGGAAAGTATAGAGGGCCGGGTATATATGCGGTTCCCAGTTCTTAAATGACTTGTATTTCTAGAAAACACAAGGATAATAGAAATCAATACACTCATAGGATTACAAATATCATTTCAGTAGCTATTTTCCATAAAAGAGTTTCACTGGTGAGAATATTTGTAGTTGCCTGTACTTTTACAAACACCATAAATATGCCGTGTGATGAATAACTCCATTTCTATACATAACTTGTGTATCTGATATTTTATGGATTATCCATGCTTTAAAATGTGGGTGAAGCAATGAGAAAGTGAAATTTATTAACTGATAATTTTCATTAGTATATATTAATTTAGCCCCCCCAAAAAAAAACCTCAGTAAAAAATATGATGACCCTGAAATCTTTATAAGGCGAGGGCAAGTATGCTCGGCCATAAGCTGCTGAACCAGCTCTCCTGGGATATCCCCTAATTTGTACTGTGCTTCAATGTCTGTGGCCCAAATACTTTCTCACCATGGCCAAATCCAAAATACCAAGATGCCACAAACAGACCTGGGAAGAGATGGCCCCAACATCAGAACACCACCATTTTTCATTTATACTCTCCAAAGGTATTTTCACATTAATTACAGGTTTTAGAGTCATATCGTACCAATAATGGTGGTAGTGGGTGCTAAGTGACAGTATACTATATACTATCAGCTTTTCCTGTACAAATTCATTATATCTTAATGTCAGTTAGATGCTTTGACTCGGGTTTGAGGACTGAGGGGCTAAAAAAGAATGACGTAGCACAAGTCTTGTAAACCATAACTATTTTTGCCACTTATCTATACCACCAGGGAAGTATATTGCTTCCCACCCTGCCCAAACATGCTAATCACCGGTGAGACCTAGCATAAAATAACCACATAGCTCATGATACCTCGAAGCAACTTTGTTTCGCTCTCTGGTGTGCTGACAGATGTAGCTTATGAGAACATTAAAAGCGTATTATTCTTTTAACTTATGGATTCCTCATCATAGACATGCAACATCTATTTCCCAGGCAAATGGAGATCAGATACTATACATTCTGCTCCAACATACAGTGTGATCTGATGAGCGGCATTTAGAGTAGTTTGCTCTGGTCTAATAAAGTTTTATTGTATTTTAAGCCATAGACTCAATTAAATAGTTGTGAGCAATTTATGTAATTTTCTATCTTTTACTCTTCCCTCGTGAGGGTAAGAAAGGATAAAGTATTGTTTACTTCTCAGAGGCCATGAATGGCAGTTTGAGGTGAACATTAGCCCTGAAATTGTGAACAACAGACGAATGATTACAATGAGTCAAACAATATGAAGTTTCCATAGGAAGCAATTTCCTGTGCCTGAACCACAGAAAGGAACAAGCAGAGTAGGAGGATGTGGGCCTAGGAACTTGGTTTTTCCACCTAGCTGAGGTCTTGGCTACTGAAACCTCTCTCTAGAAGTTCTGTGTCTGACCATCAATTATTAGTTTGATTAGTCTGTAGCTAAGGATTCTTCCTTTGTTTTTTTGTTTTTTTTAAAGAAACAATGTACACTAGTTTTGTTTTTTAAAATATATTTTTTAGCTGGGTACAGCTCTTGGAAATATTTAACATTGTTTCTAGGTCTTCTTCCTCTAGTAACCTCATCCTTAAATGTTTCCTGATAAGAAATGGGTACAGATAAACATACTGGGTTAAGGAAACTGAGAAACCCATTAGAGATTCTGACAAAAGTAAATTGGTATCTGGAGACCCGAGGTTGGGCTGAGTGCTTCAGAAAGGCCTGTCCCTGACACACTTTAAAGTTTATTGTGAGCAAACACCTCTTATTAAATGTAAACAGCATCTCACTGGAGGTCAGAGACTCGCCGCTGCAGCATATCCCAAGGTAATACCACTTTAAGCTCCACATAAACTCTTAAGCAGTTTCTATCCTAAAACCTGACCGTAGGTGGTACAGTTTTTTACGATATGTTATAATAGTGCAATAAATCTGTTAGCTTAAAATCGAATCTCCGTGGCCTTTTAGAGAAATCATCATTAAATGCAGGGTCCTGTTAATGATGCCATTGAAGTGAAATTGTTTAATCTGCTAAGGGGGTGAAAGGTCACCAAATGAATTTTTTATAATACATCAACTTGACACGCAATAGGGAAAACTGTAATAGATAAAAGCAAAGGAAAAGGGCACTGTCTTCTTCTGATAGGTCAATAGCAGCCAAGAGAGTCACTCATCCACTTTCCTTTCATGATGGGGCTCTTTTTGCATTTAATATGGACACCCAATTAATACCTCAGTACCACAGACAACCTCATTTTAGGTGACTTATAGCAATTTCTCCCCCTTCCCTGAAATGAACGTGATCACAATACATCATAGCATTGTGCGAATTAACGTTAATTGATTCAAGTTACCAAGCAATGATGGGCCGCTTATATAATCTAGGCGTTATTGGGTGCTAGAAGGGATGGAGGGAAGATTAGATTCCAGTGTCCGTTGCTGTGACGACGGGAGTCACCTGACACCTTGTTAGACAGTTGTAAGGTTCTATTGCTGGCCCCAGTGGGGTCGTCAGTAAACTGGAGTGATGTCCAAACATCATTACACGCTGCTCCAATATTAAAGCAAAGGGATTAACAACTTATTGCAAGCAACCTGGATTTGTCATTGTGCTGTCGTTATCCAATTTCCAACTGCTAATGTGACTGTAGCCTGCAGGCAGAAGGACCTACAGCCAAACTTTAAAAAATGGGGGAGGAACGTTCCCTCCATCTCCTCCAGTCTCAACCGCTATTTAACAGCTGGCAATACCCAGTCAAGTATGTGAAACATATTTTTCCTTGCCATTCTTAAGTGCAGACTGGAGGAGGAAGAGCGTGACAATGCAGGAACTTCCCAGCTCAGAGACCACCACCACCACCACCATTCTCCCCAACATGTGCTTCTAAATCTGGCACACATGGCGTGTTTCCATCCTGAAAGGTGAGACAATGGCAAACATAGAAAATGGAAATGAGTAAATCCTAGTGATGCACACAGTTTTTCAACAAGACCTACTGTGGTGACTAAGAGTGGCGCAGAGGGTTTTGGGTACTTCACCCCTCCAAGGTCGTTAACTGGGTTTCCACTAAACAACAATAACAACAACAACAACAACAACAACACCACACACACACACACACACATATCCCCCTGTTTTTATTAGCTTTACAGGGTATCCTGAGCTCCCATGTTTCTCTGGTTTTCAATAGACTAGGCAAATGACACAGTCTATATGTGCCACAAAGGGGACCTGTAAAAGGGAAGAGGTGGTCTCTGTACCTTGGAAGGAAAAAAGTAAGTTTTTCAGTCAATTCCAGTTGACAGTCAATGTTAGACCTCCTATTATGTACAAAACTTGCTTGAGGCAATGTGAGACACACAAAGAGAAATGAAGCACTGTAACTCTGCCCCTGGGCAGGATGCTTCTGTGCCTCTGGAAGACAAGAATGACTTCCCCAGGTATCTTTCTGAACTGATACAAACTGTTTTATTCACATTTAATGATCATGTGATTCCTATTCATCCCAGGCAGTCTCCCTTAGCATTTGCCCTCCCTAGTTGGGAAGAAATGTCTTATGATCTAATCGTTTCCTACTGCTGTTATGTCCCAGTAATTTCAAGTCTGGCACATCACAAGCCCCTACTCAATCTCACCATAACACTTTACCATCTCAGTACCCATCACGTCCTTTCTCTGCACATAGGTCATGAGTTGCCTCAGAAAGCTACTACCCAGCTTGACCTGGCCAATTTTAACTTTAGGTGTACCGTCCACACAGCCATATTACTTCTGGACTCAATTACCTGTGGCTGAACACTTGGAACAGCCTGAAATTATCTGTTTAAAATAGCAGTATGCCAATATAAAACAGGAAAACATCTTTCAAAGCTTTCAAAGAAATGCAAACATTCTAGAAACAAATCTAAAATATTCTTATTGGTAAGTTATTTAAGATATTATTTTATGATAAATCTAGCAAGAATAAAATTTAGAATTAAAGTTATGCAGAAGAACAAAAATAAGAAGATTCTATACAAATGTTCCAATGTTTCTGTTTACATGGAGGTATGGTAGTGGTAAAGAGGAAGAGACTTGGTCAGTCATCCCCATCAGCTTAGACCATGAAACCCAGTATGGACAAGTTCAACAGAACCGCCATATACGAGCGTCCCATGCCTGCTTCAGCATTGCCAGGACATAAATTTCAACTTCACTAATGGTAGTAGTAAAAGTTTGGCTAGAAGGAAACAAAAACCTCTCAATACCTTTTTTAAGCAGAAGAGATTAATGCAAAGTAGTGAAGGTTGTGGGCATGGAGATCTTTGTGTTCACAGAAGCACTGGGGGAACCTGGAGTATTAATCACATATGTTGTTCCTTTAAGGGAAGGGATGTTTTGCCTGTTATCTACCCAGAAGGCTGCGAGATGTGTGGACCAGACTGGTGACCTTGGCTCTATCTGTGGGGTTATACACTCTCCTAGTGTCAGATCGTCCCCACCTTACTGTAAATTTGTTTTCCTACATGGTCAGTCTATGCAACCTGTCTTTATGGACTTCACAAAGAGGTTTCATGCATTCACTTCTGATCCATCTTTAGCTTACTTGTTCCTCAAAAAGATATTTGCATACTTGGTTGTGCACATGGGTTTGTGTTACCACCAGAGTAGGTTTTCACCAAATTGGGTTGTACTTAAGCATGCCTAAAATGAACTAGTCGGGGTCAGCCTCCAGAAGTTTGAACCAACATAGGCTAGGTGAACCGAGATGAACCGTCTTTGTGCCATCATCCAACCATCTGTCTGTCTGCAGGCCTCCTGAAGGTTACATAAGACCGTTGGACTAGAGAAGCTAAATAGTTACTGTGATAGCTTATCTTAGCTTCAGTTTGACTGGACTGAGAATTATACAGGAGGCAGTGAGACAAATTTCTTGATGTGGCTCTGAGAATTAATTCACAAGGAACCACCCAACCTGGGTGTGGGTGGTCCCTTCCTAGGGGCTGAAGACCTGAACAGGATAAAATGGGAAAAGGATGTGGCAGCTTTCAGAGCACTTGCATTTGTTTCTGTTTTTCTGTTTCCTGCGTCATGTGAACTCCTTCCGTGCTGCACCGTGCCCTGCCCATATGTGCATTGCTTTAGACTTTGAGACAAATCAAACCTCTACACCCTTGGTTTATTTCTGTTAGGTCTTGAGTTCACAGAGATAAAAAAGCTTCTGATAACATGTCGGTGTCTATGAAAGATGCTGAATGATCTCTTGGAATAACAACTCATTAGAACCTCTTGGGAATAGAAAAGTAAATTGAAACTTTGGCTACATAGTAAATATTATATAGATAAATGTATACTTGTTTCATTATGAAAATAATCCTAATAGGTTGGTTCACGTTGAATTAATAATTCCTTTTTTGCTATATCAAGCTTTTATTTAATTTTTGAGAATTTCTTACATAAATACACTGCATTTATATCATTTCAACTCTTTCTTTCTCATATACAAGTCCTCCATTCTCCGCTACTCCCTCTAGGGATACACATACAAACATACATACACTCACTCACACACACACACCCTGGTACATATAATCTATTAAATACTAAACCCATTTAGTGTTGCTTATATGTACATGTGCTTGAGGCTTAATGTATTTTCATTAAGTAGTAGAGAAATTATTGGTTTAATTATGTATTTACTCAAAATTCTATAGATTTTCAATAGTAATATAATAAAATATTTTAATATGTATATATTGTTTAAACTGGTATAATATGTTGGACATGATGGCTGTTCAAATAATATTTGGGTACAAAAATTTCTGAAATGTGAACTTTCATGAGGTATCTTATTTATCTATACACTCACTATATGTTTAAACACATTTTAATGCACTTTTAAAGTAGTTTGGACTAAGTTTTTGGAACAGGAATCTATTGTGCATGAGGAAAGAGATTTGAAAGATGCAGGGAAAGTAACAGCAGTAACAGATATAGAAAAAAAGTATTTTGAAGGAAAAGCACAGAATAACATACAAGTTCCAGAACAGCAATCAAGGATGCATTGCTCTCAAACCATTTAGTACAAGAACTGTAGACCCTAAAGCCATTAGTACAGACACAGGACTCTAAAATGCATGATAATCTCACTGATGACCATGGTGAATCATCAATAAAAGTGAGACTGAGTTGTGAATGAATTGTTATGTTCCATTTAAAAAGGCTTGGTATTAAACTTTAACTGAAAATTTTTATTTATTTCCTTTCTTTATAGCCCAGGATAATCTCATATTCATTTACGTACACAAGCATCACCATAAACTTCTGATCTTCACCCTCCTCCACACAAGTGATCTTACTGTAACCGTGTGTTCATATGCAGAGTGATGTGGCAATGGGCATCAAACTCAAGGATTAAAGCATATAAGCAAGCACTCAACCAATTGAACTGTAGTGTCAGACCATTGGTGCGATGGATCTGAACTCTGGTCTCCATGCTTACTGGGTAAGTCATTTACTCATTGAGCCAGCCCCATAGTTCCTTAAATCATTTTTATGGGCCCTTTTCTGCCTTAAGACCATTGGCACATTAAGTTGCTCTCACACCTTGAACTGTCTGCTTTCCTCTTTGGACTCTTTCCTATGGCAGGAAAAATTCTGCTTGTCAAAGTCTCAAGTGTTTGACTGAGCCAACTATGGTAACTCAGGATAGCCTTCTTGGTTTAAGGCCAAATGTGCCACAGAACATAGCAAAATCATAAAACGATTTCTTCATCATTCATAGGGCCAGAAGATTACAGAGGTGTGTCTTCGGGGAGACATCACAGAAATTCTGCCAACTACAACAGCTTTGGTATTTTGACACCTAAACTTCTGTAAGGGAGATAACCAGAACTAATTTTATTATTTACTGATACTGTATGTATGTATATATGTATTATGTATGTATACATGTATGTTTGTATGTGTGTTTGTACCAGATTATATACACTCTGGCTCAATATACAAAGTAGTGAGCAATCTAGGAAGTTATAAACTCAGTCTCTGTTATCAATATGCACAGGTACATATGAGTCTGTACATTCATATTCTAGTATGAGAATGAGCGAGTAAAGAGACAGGAGAGAAAAGAGAATGAAACGACAGAGCTTCAGGAATGAAGATCAAGCTTCAGGAGAAAGGAAGGCAGGCAGCAGTGCATGTTCTGTTGGGACTTCTGAATACAACACAGGGAAACATGATCCTGGTGGGGAAGCTCTAACTTAAAGAGGGGATGTGGAATATGGTGTCCATCTCGTCCCACCAAAATCTCCACTACCTAAAGCATGAAACTGGGTAAGGCAGTACAGAAAAAAAAAGAAAGGAATAAAGAAAACAGGCAAATGGACAGAAAGATGATGGCATATGTCAACAAAAGTTTGAGAAATGAACAGCAAGTTCATGCAGCTGTTCTAAGCAGGCAGAGGAAGTTAGAATCCAAATTTCCTGACAGGAGTAAAGGGAAAAATTGACTGCATACCCAAAAAGTAGACAGCAACTTCGTTTTCCCTCACAGTCTAAAGTGCTACTTTCTTGAAAATAAGTCGTGATCATCTGGTAATCTAAGTTTCCAAGATAGCCTCATTTAGTGAAATGCCCACAACCCCTGTATATACCAGAAGGGAACTTCCAAAGGACTTCGTTAGTGGTTCCCCACTGAAAGGAGCTCCTGCACAGACTCATCTCTGGTGTCTCAAGGTCAATTCATGAGTGTGCCAATGACTCTTGGAGGAGTTCAGAAAAGGTTCTAACTGATATTGGTAAGAACTGAAAGATGCCAAGCTGGCCTTGGGGCCTATCAATGGCTCTAAGCCTTTTTAGCATACTGGGCAATCTTCAGGGACAGAGGGAACATTGGTAGGATTTGTCAGTTCTATGGGCCAAGCTGATTCTCACCCAGCAGACATTTCTATCAGGTATGCTTTGCTTTATTTTCCATTGATTTATGTTTTTTTTTTGTCATACACCTGGAAAATCTCTCTTAAGATACCAGAGAAACAGATAGGGGATATAACCAACTTTGATGGAAAGTCCATACCATATTATTCATGCTTCATGTTTTTATATTAGATCAGAAAACTCTGAGTCAGGAGTGAAGACGACATGTTTTGGCTGATGGTGAGTGGCAGAGGTGACCTTTGAGCTAAAGCCATCTCATGTCTACAGGATAGGATGGTTTGCCCCACAAACTTGTGCAAAATTCCCTGTTTGCTCCCCGTTCACTCTGCAGGGTTTCCAAGATAGACCTTCACTAGTTCTACTCATTGTAATCTCGTATACTAAAAGATGAATACACACTGCAATGTTCAATATTTTGGAACAGTGAACAAAATAAAGCAATGGATGAGGCTGGAGAGATGGCTCAGATTTTAAGAGCATTGCCTGCTCTTCCAAAGGTCCTGAGTTCAATTCCCAGCAACCACATGGTGGCTCACAACCATCTGTAATGAGGTCTGGTGCCCTCTTCTCGCCTGCAGGCATACACACAAACAGACTATTGTATACATAATAAATAAATATTAAAAAAAAATACAAAATAAAGCAAGGGGCTATAGCTTTGATCTCTAGGTATACATATAAATTTATAAGAACTCAGTGAAGCCTAAATGAAGCTACACTAAGAGAAAAAATGAAGCAAAACCAAAACACATTAGCACCATTGACACCCATATGACCATACAGAATGTAGGAGTAATACTAGGGAGCAAGGTAGACAGATAAGTGGTTAAAACCACTTATTGCTCTTGAAGAGGACCCAGGTTTGGGTTCTTGTACCTCCCTGTGACTCAGAACCACATGAAACCCTAGTTCCAGAGGGTCTAATTCCCTCTTCTTACTTCCACAAGTACCTGACATACATGCGGTATACATACATACATACAGGAAAACACTTGTACCCATAAAATAACACAATCTAAAAGTTTCAAAAATAATAGTATCAATAATTGTTTAAAATTTTGCGCTTGGCAAAAATATTGTTCTATATTAGAAACAACCAAGAATAATTAGGGTGTTGTTTTTGTGCCTATCAACAAAAAGAATACATATGCTCTCGTTATTGTAGTGGAAAACTGTAATACAAACTATTAACTAATGAGTTTCCATATGGATAGTTACTCTACATAAAATTTTAAGTACCCTTTCTCAGAAATGAACCTTCTTCTGGCTAGCCAATAGATGTGATCAGTTCCTGAAATCATATGCAAACCAGCAACAAAAATGTACTGAGCATGTTATATTTATATATTTATGCACACACACACAGGCACATATACATACATATAAACGTATATGTGTCTGTATGTGCATGTAAAACCATAAAATCAAAGAAAAAATAAAGAAGCTATCAATTTGCCAGAGCAGAATGGGAGGAGTTAGAGGAAGAATAAGTGGGCAGGGCAAGAAGGATGAAAGAGATGGAGAAAGTGATAGAACTCTATTTCACCTAAAAAGGTGTTTTTTTTAAATGTCAATAAATGAATTGATTGAATTTGTCTCTAATTAGGTGTGTAGCTTTAGCTTTTTACAATTTGAATTCTAGTGAATCATTTGCAGTTGATTGTAAAGAATACAGGCCCAAGAAATCTCCCTTCATCAAGATGTTCTGCTAGAGCTTACCTATAGCCCATGACTCCCGCTGAATGAGTTACCAGTACGGCCCCCACAGTCATTCCGAGAACATTTTCCAGGACTCCAGTTTGTTGAGCAGTGATAACTTGGTGAGCCAAATTCCTCAGCCTGTTGCTTGGTAAGGACGGAATCAATTCAGTGCGCCTTACATTTGGCAAATCACCTATTTCAATGACAATCACCTTTGAGAGAGTTTCCACAGAGGTTGTTGGTGTGATCCTAGCTGGCATCACTTCTGCCATGAGAGGTCTGCGTTGACCAGATCTGGTAGAGGCACCACCACAAGTTACAGTTGGGCAATTACGCTTTCGTTTCCCTCTACCGTTTGCAATGGCTTCTAAGGTCTCTTTGTTGCCAGGCATCTCAAGCTTGAATTTGATTTGGTTTGGGTCAGTCTGTAAGAAGTGCGTAAGCCTTTCAAGCATCACTCTTTCCCAGCCTTTCTCTGGGACTGACAATGTCACAGTGAAAGCCAAATGAATGGAAACACTTGAGTGTATTTCAACAGGCGCCTCTCCTTGTAGGACAACATACAAGAGGTTATTCATGATATCGAAGTAGTTGGCACCCGCAGACTCATCCAACAATGAAGACGCTGACTCTACTGGAGTAGGTGGAATAAATCTTTTTTCTAAGAAAACATGAGGGCTCTGAATCTCATCGTAGAACACAGCCAGAACTAGCTTGGAGGCACTTCTGTTACCAAGCAGAAAAAAGCGCAATACAGGAGGTGTTTGCTCCACAAAGCATACTTTGGTGATTTGTCTGGTTGGTAAGATGGAATAGAAAGTAGACACAGAGGTAGTGCTAGGGCATAGTGTACTGTCCTTCACCCTGCTAAATGTGTCAACAAAGCCATTAGTAACAGATACAAGTGGGTATGACTTCGGAATTGTCCAAAGCACATCTACATTATGGAGAATTAAGATCACATAGTCAGTCTGCTTGCAGAAGAAGCCCTGGATCATTGCTCGGAATGTGCATTTCTGTTCATCTCTGAAGATACCTGTGACACAAAGCAAACAAATGAGTAACATATGAGTGACATCTAATGAGGATTTATAGCCCACTCTTCTCACCATTGTCTGTTATGCTGCCAAATACTTATTGACCATTTGACTATATTAGATGTTGGGAACACAAATAAATCTTAAGAAAAATATGAAAAGCTATATGCATTAAAGAAAAGTCACCTAACATATTCTAATGATAAATATCTTTTAACATTAAAAACAAAAGCAATGGTTAAGTGCAAACAGATTTGAATACGTAAAATAATTGCATCAGGAACAATCGTGGGGGGAGGGCTTTAAGGGAAAAGAAACTAAATTGCTGTATTCTTATATGCATGTATGACACAAAATATCCAAAATGGCTTGGTGTTTCTCCCTATTGTTAACAACCAGTTCTCCATCAAACACCGTTTCCATTTGAAGTCTTGACACTACCTGGTAGAAACTTCAGAACTCACATTAAGTGTTTGATGTCACATGACTGTCTCAATTCATATGTCATTCATAAGTACCAGGTGGTGAGCAATGCTTCTAAACCAACTCTGGGTCCCTGTGATCCTCACTTTGGGTTAAATTTGATAAAGATGCTCACAAAACTCAGAGCAATGCATTATTTATCTATTTACTTATTGTCGAGGAAATTGTAAAAAACAAAAAAAACAGACATGAATAACCAGACGCATGAAATGTACAGCATAAAGTGTGTTTGAAAGGCACAAAGCTCCTATCTCCACTCTCGGTGGGCCTCCCACCACATTCTTTATCCACACAAACGTTCTCCAAGTCTTCTTTCTTCAGAATGAAGGTGAATCTCATGAAATCATTCACCATTGTTGGTTAATTCAGCAATCCAAGCATCTTCTCTCCCTGGCTGTTACACGGTGGGACTACAAGTTCCAAGTTTTAGTCACATGATTTATTTCACAAAAAAGATCTTTCATAAAACTAACAGAAATCTAAGAATCTCAGGAAAATGACAATTGAAACTGATGTAAGATTGCATCCCACCTTAGCATGGCTACCATCAAGAAAACAAATGGTCAGGAGACTGTGGGTAGATAAGAACACATAGTCACTGCTGGAGAGATTACAAATTTGTGAGAACACTATGAAAATCATTATAAATGTTTCTTTTAAAAAAAATCAAAAAGTAGAATCCTATGGTACAGCTTTACCATTATAAATACACTGAGAATTTAAAATCTTACCATAATTACATCTACATGTTTATTGGTATTTTGTTTACAGTAGCTAGGTAAAGTCAGCCTAGATATCTATCAACTCACGAATGGATTATAAAAATGGGTGTACTTGCACAGTGGAGTTTCATTCAGTGGTATAGAAAAATGAAATAATGGCATTTGTGCGAAAATTGATGGAGCTGGAAGAAATTACTACCGTAAGCAAACAATTCCCAACCCTGAGAATTGGGACTACCACATGTTTTGTTTATTTTTTGTCATGCATGTATGTTAGCTTTTAATCTTGTATCTATAAGTGTGAGGTATGAGGATAATGAAACTAGAAAGGGGGTATAGGAAAGGAAAAGTATCTCACTTGGGGTGAAAGAGCATACCACAATGCATGTGATCTGAAAGGAGTAGGAGGGATGATGAGGGACCACAGCATGGGCATTGGAGGGGGAATCAGTAAAACATCAATAAAGACAATTATGCATGGGATTCCACACTTAAATCTTTTACTTTGTATATTAATCTGAAAGATAATAATAAAAGGAAGACAGCAAGGACATTTATAACTTATTAAAGTTAGAAAACAAAAGAGCTTATTTGACAAGGGAAAGAAACAATCAAAGTCCTACCTAGCTCTAAGCCTACAAACCGCAGCAATTCCTGAACCAGCAAGACATCTATAAAGGTGCAATAGTAGCATAGCTGCCTCAGTTGACTTAAGGCTTATTCAACAGGAGGGTATTCGTGTCTAGTACTGTAAATATAGCCAACAACTTATGACAGAAAAGACCACAGACGTCAGAGGAGAATCTACTATTGCCAGTTTCTTCAACCAACACAATTTAACTGTTTTTAGAATACCTGCAGGTGAGTGTAGCTCTCACCTCTCATCAAAGAAGATATTTTTTGGAACAGTTGGACACTGTTACAGAGGCCCAAACCTGGTCCAAACACAGACAAAAAGTGACTATGTGGTATCTTGCCCCAACCAATACACCTGGAATGCAACACTTACACCTAAGGCTCAGGAAAATAAAAGATAAGCCGGCAGAAAGATTATAAAAATCGGAAGTCCAGGATGTCTGCTCTGTTAATGTCCCCTATACCATGGCAGGGAAAATGTACCCTTGACCTCTCAGCAATATGGTTACTTAAAAAAGACCCATGGAGAATAGATCTATTGAGAGTCACTAGTCTCTTCCACTTATGTTATCAAGCTACCAGTGTGCAATCATGTGATTCCACCTGGATGATTTTTATCTAATTCCAATCAGCTATTGAAAGGCCTGCTTCACAACACTTCCAGCTGGATCATTCTTATCTTATTGATTCCTGGGATGGGGGATTTCCCTCTGTATCCTGTGGTTACCGTTTTAAAATAAATACATTACCATTTAAAAATGTAATTTATAATTAAGAAACATAGGTTAATAGGTAATCATCTATAATAGTCAAGCTTGTAGTCATTAGTTAGATTTTCTGGATGTACGGAAATGTATTTCAGATAGATAGGTATTCTTTAAACCTTTCAAAGACTACAGAATATGTAATTTAAGATGTTTTAAGAAGTTAGGATTGTTCATGACTCTGAGAAACATTTTCTCCTGTCAGCACCAAGATACTTCAAGGGGATAATGGGCAATGAAGAGGCTCCTTATAAAGTTGGTTAACCATTTGGGCAAGAAACTGCTCTTGCCTGAACTGCTTGATGAACTGGACATGCAGGACCCACAGAGAAATGATTGCTGAACTTGCCTAAAGGTGAGGCAATTTTTCAGGGTTTCTGATTTATGAAAGAGTCTGCTAGACATTCTGTAGTCCACAGAAAAAAAGTGACCAGCAAACTGCCACTATAGGCAGAACTGTCTTTGAAATTTCCTGCATCATGGAAAAGTCTGCCAGATACTATGGCCCTGTAGGCTGAAGATGAGTGTATCAATGGTACAGAAGAACTTTGGGTAACTGTCCAGGCAGCAAGATGTCTCTGTCAATTCTAGAGTTCTGGAAGTAGCTTACAGTGCACTTCTTGTTTATTTAGGTAACATTATATCCTTCTGGAGCCTTTAATGGAGTTGAAGAATTTAGAGTTATCATTTTTCTTAGTTATAATAAAAGATAAAGTAGATATAAATATTGTAACTATAGTTCTTGCCTGATATCAGTTTTATTATATGTAATCTTTCTATGTTAAAGTTAAAACCTTCCTTTTTATTTAAACAGATAAGGAGAGGTGATGTGGGAGGTGATGTCCTCTGTATGCTGTGATTACCATTGGTTAATAAAAGAACTGTTTTGGGGATATAGCAGAGCTATAGGGGAACAGAGCTAGGAAGGGAAAACTAAGTGGAATTCTAGGAGAAAGGAGGAGAAGTGAAAGAGAAGTTATGTAGTTGCCACCAGGGACAGACTTGCTGAAATTTTGCTTGTAGGTCACGACCTCGCGATGATGCACAGATTAATGGAAATGGGTTAAATTAAGATGTAAGAGTAGCAAATAAGAACCAAGAGAAAATGGGACAAGCAGTGATTTAAATAATATGGTTCCTGTGTGATTATTTTGGGGCTAAGCAGCCAGAAACAAACAAGCATCCTTTCTTGCAATAATGTTAAAAAGGGGGAAAATATTTCAATTTGATATTTGAAGTATACAAATCATATTAAAAAGAAGTTTCATCAAATCTTGTTTATTAGAAGATATTTTATCACACTTTCCTCACATAGACTTCTCTCCTCAAATGAAAACATTCCAATCTAACATAATTTCACTCAGTCCATTTTTAATTAAGAGTTCTTTCTTTCCAAATCAGAGAGCTACTATGCCATTATACCCACAGATGAGTGCTTCATTCAACACTCATCAGAGAAGCTTCTTCTTTCAATTGATGGGAACTAACGCAGAGACCCAAAAATGAACAATGTGCAGAGTGAGAATCCTAAACAAAATGTTCTACCAAATTGCTTCCCTCAAGACTCAGGGATCTGTGAGGACGAGAAAGTAGAAAGGTTCTAAGAGCCAGATGTTTCTAAGGAAACTGCATCTTCCAGACACAACTGGACTGATACACATGTGACTTCACAGAGACTGTGACAGCACAAAATTGTCAATTCTAAACTGAGAATATTATTCATTTTAATGCAATCTGTTCTTCTCTTTTCGTTTTTCATTGATTTTCTCTTTTGATACTTAAAAAAGTATGTTTAATGAAAACTGTGTTGAAAAATTCAAGAGATATTCTAATTAAAAAAAGGAATTTTTTATGGAAACATATAGATTGGGTCTCTATATTAAAAAAGCCCTACACAAAACTGCAATTATTTCAATTATTAAAACTTTTTTAAGATTAGCTTTTGTTTAAAAATAGTTCTATACAATATATTTTGATTATGTTCTTCCTGGTCCTCAGAGTCCTGCTCGGTCCTCCTCACCTCCTTACCCACCCAACTCCATTGTTCTCTTTCAAAATTAAAAAGTAAGGCAGAAACAAAAAGCCCACAGAAGACATATGAGGTTCATTTGTGCTGGATAAGAGTTCCTGTTCACACGGCCTGCCCTGGAGTGTGGTTGTTGCACCCAATGATAGTCCATTGGAGAAAACAGATTTTCCTTTTCCCAGAAAGTCAGTGTGCAAACAGCTCCTCAGCAGGGCTGGAATTTTGTGTCTATCTCCCCTTCTCAGTGGTGGGACTTTGCTTGGTTTGGAACTATGTGACTACTAAAGTGTATTGGGGAGGAAAGCATATCCGATTACATAATTTTCAAAAATATGGTCAATAGGCTTCAAGAGAATACCTGGAGATGA